CCCCTAGAGTTTGTAAACTCTTTTTAAAAATGTAAAAGCTTGGGGTGCTTGGGTGGCTCAGTGGGTTAAAGCCTCTGCCTTCGGCTCAGGTCATGATCCCAGGGCCCTGGGATCGAGCCCTGCATTGGGCTCTCTGCTTGGTGGGGAGCCTGCTTCCCCCTCTCTCTCTGCCTACCTCTCTGCCTGCTTGTGATCTCTGTATGTCAAATAAATAAATAAAATCTTTAAAAAAAAAATGTAAAAGCTTGTTGCATATAATATTCATTCTAAAGGCATTTTTCCTCCACTACATAGCTCTCCATACCAAAGCAAGATTAATTTCTGACTAAGATCTGGAAGTGCTGCTCCCATCCTATATTTATTTATCACAATATTCTATGTCTTTAAGATACAACAAAGTAGAAAAATTAAAAATCAGAGTCAGGGAAAAGATAAAAACTTGAGAAATAAAATGTTTGGTAATTTTTTTTTTTTTAATAATTTTTATGTAACAAATTCGTACCTGTTTCTAAAGACTATTTCTCAATTTTCAACACAGGGTATGATAGCCTTACCTTTAAGCAGAGAAACTCAATGAAACTCAGACAATTCTCTGACCTGGCTCTCAGTCCCTCCTACTGATGCCAGAGTACAGTTCTAAAGACCAATGCAGCTTTGCTTCAGATTCTTTTCCCATTCCCAAGATTTTAAAATTTCTATTCCTGGAGCACCTGGGTGGCTCAGTCGATTAAGTGTCTACCTTTAGGTCAGGTCATGATGGAGCCAGGTGTCAGGCTCCCTGCTCACTGAGTGAGGAACAGTGCTTTTTCTGAGATATTTATCAGTACCTTTTATTTTTTACTGAAGAATAGTTGATACATAGTGTTACACTACTTTCAGGTATACAACATAGTGATTCAACAAGTCTATACAACAATTCCATGCATTATGCAGGGCTCACAAATGTAGCTATCACTGGTCACCATACACTATTACAATACCATTAATTATATTCCCTATGCTGTACCTTTCATCCCCATGGGGAGGAACAGCATTTTTACTTTGATGGTTTAGTACTACGATACTAGAAGAGTATAGCTCTACAGCCAATCAGAAATCTGTCAAATCTTTCTTCAGTTTTTATCATCAAATTTCCCCTTTTCTACCAGTGCCATAGTAATCCAATACCACACACACCACTACACGTACTACCTTCTCCTTTTATGTCACTAAAATATTATTTCTCAGAGTGCCTGGGCGGCTCAATCAATTAAGCATCGGACTCTTGGTTTCAGCTCAGGTCATGATCTCAGGGTCATGAGACTGAGCCCAGCCAAGCATGGGGCTCCGAGATCAGCACAGAGCTTGCCTGAGATTCTCTACCCATCCCACCCCCCTCCCCTTTTGCCCCCTCCCTCTCTCTCTCTAAAATAAATCTTTTAAAAAAATAAAATTTTAAAAATTTTTAAATATTTTTCTCCCTACATTCCACCAAAATATCATTTTTAACATTATTTAAAATTAACTATATCGTTCACAATGCTCAAATTTCAATATCTAAAAGAAAAGAAAGAAAAAAAGCCCAAACTGGCATCAAAACCAAAGTATCACAATCTGATCTGATGCATTTTTCTGGTCTTATTATATATAAAAATCTCTGATTCAACAAGAAAAAAAATTTACTCATTATTCCCCACAAAGATGTTAAGTTTTCTTATTAGCTATCAATAATAGATGACCTCCTAGTGTCTGTCCATTAAAAAAAAAAAAAAATCAAATCTCAACTTTTCCTCACCCATGGAAACAAAACCTCTGATCACTGCTCTACCAGAGTAATTACCACTTCTAAATTGTAAAGCTAATTATAATTAAATTTAAATAATACTGACTTACTGCTTTAATAAATCTCTTATTGTTAACTTTTCATTTCTTTCGGGCTTTGCTCCTAACCTTGAAAGCAAGGGCATATCATATACCCTGAAGTAGAGCCCTCCACAGAGCCTTCATTCAGTCAGATGTTAATTCAAAAGAGATTAGGAACAAGGAGGAAAAAAGGATTAAGTTAGAAATTTCTCTGCAGGGGCGCCTGGGTGGCTCAGTGGGTTGGGCCTCTGCCTTCGGTGCGGGTCATGATCTCAGGGTCCTGGGATCGAGCCCCGCATCGGGCTCTCTGCTCAGCGGGGAGCCTGCTTCTCCCCTCTCTCTGCCTGCCTCCTCTCTGCCTACTTGTGATTTCTCTGTCAAATAAATAAATAAAATATTAAAAAAAAAAAAAAAGGTTTAAAAAAAAAAAATTTCTCTGCAAAGAACCCAAACATGATTCCTTGGCTACTTTACTAAAAGTTCAAAATACAGCTCAATTGTGGATAGGCTCCAGGCTTGGCAACATTCCTCAGTGCTCTAGGGGGAGTTTTTCCTGCTTTCTCTTCACACCTTTAGCACAGAGTGTATCTCCAGCTGATCAAGGAAAATGAAGTGTTTGTAGGTCTAAACCAAAGTCCAGGCTCCTCCTGAAGCATTAACAAGCTCCCTCCTAAATAGCTTCTAGTAAGTTAGATAAAATGCATTTCCCCAAATGGCATCAATGAGGCAGATAGGGTACTATGAAGGAATAGAGAGCATCATCACTCTTTTCCCTACCCCTACCAAAGAGGGTAAGAAAAGGAAAAAAAAAAAATTAGCCAGCCAAAAAAAAGGCTCTGTGGGCATCAATTTCTACAGTGACTAAATATATTTATTATTTTAATCTTTAGAAAAGATCTTCAGTCATTTTTAACTGTTACAGATTATTACCATGTCTAAGGGAAAATTTTTACCCTAAGGAAAAGCTATTTATTTTCTTTAAAATGTTTGATTAAAATTTAAAAAGTAAAACGTACTGGGATTTAATTTATTCTATTTTTAAATAGTTTAAAGTAGATTAAACCTTTATCTCCAGTCCCGGAACACTGTTCATTTAAAATTAATTAAAACCAGAACACCAAATGACTTCTCTTCTATGTGTTTCTCTCCAGGAAACAGCAACAGACAAAACTCATATTTTAAAATTAGACGTTTTCTCAAACACCGTAAAAGTGCTTAAACTTCAATTATATAAATTTTTAAAAAGAAAGGGGAAAAAGGTGCTTAATGCAAAAACACAATACAGCTCATTAAATGCACAAGAATGCAAAGCACATACTAGGTGCCCAATAAATGTTTAATGTCCCAACCTCAAATCCAGAGCTCTGATCACAGCAGAACATCTTTAACATAATACATATATTTTTATCCTCTCTCCATACACTAAAAAAGAATGCTACAATGTTTTGGAGGAGTTTCTACTTTAGGCTACATGTATATACCTATATTTGAAAACAGCAAAAGATATGAATATTGATCTTGATGTTAGCAAAGGATGGCCAACTGCTAAACTCAATTCCTTCTCTTGAGCTTATTTCAAAAACAATAAAATAACCCATAGCTCTGTCCCATCAAGGTTGGGGTGGGGGGGTAGTTAGGAGGAGGAGTAGGGCTGGGGCAGGAATCAATCTTTCCTAAGTTTGTACATTGTTTTATAGCTTTGCAAGAGCCAGAATTTGTTTAGAAAGTGATGACTCCATCTCGCTCCATAAACCAGCTTCCATTGATACTGTGGAAGCACAGAGTATATATTTCCTTATCATTTTCTTTACTGTTACTCTGAGAAATTAAGAACTTCCCTTCAGATGAAGAATAAAGCCTTTTAAACCTAACACAAGAGTGATCACAAGAATCAAAAGATGTAAAATGAAAACTCATTTAATCTAACTTCTACCAGACTTATGTATAATAAATAAAATGTTTTTGCCCCAAGTATTCTATTAACTTAGCTATCTGATAGGATTATTTTGTTTTCAAGTTGTAAGGATATTAATATAGTGAAATTGGAAAAGTATAAATTCCAAACAATAAATCAGTATCTAGCTATAAATATTTAATGCCCAAACAGCTTATACTGCATTTAGTTAAGTGACAGAAGGGGGTGTGTGTGGAAAAGACAGATGTAAAAAGGAGTACAAAGGATCACCACAGTAGAGAACCAAAACAAAGAAAACCCTATCTATCCTGGGTAGAAGTAACTAGATAAATGAAACAATAAATATGAACTCTTCAACCAAAAATAAGGATACAAATTTAAGTGAAGACAATAAAGATCTTTAAACAATCCAACATCTGTTGCTTATGTAAAAGCCTACATGAAATGAATGGGTGATCTCAGTTCAGATATCCTGGAGGTCTTATTAATGTGAGTGTACAGTACTGAAGGTAACATGTATAGAATAAAAACAGATTCCATTTCAGATATGGGTAAACAGCAATTACATTAAATTACTATTTTCACAAGATATCTGAAATGGTTCAAAATTATTCATAATTTTGCCATTTTCAGAAATAACTATTAAATAATACCCATTGTACCTCAAATACACATATATTAATATATACTAAAACATATTAACTTTGTGGGATTTTTTTTTAAGTATACAGCAAATTCTGAGATTTTAACCTTCAAGAAATTTTTCTTTTTTAAGTTTTTTTAGTTTATCATGAAAAACTCTCATGATAGCAAAAGAAGGTAAAGAAAAATTCCCAAACCATCTATTTGTATAATAATGTATCGCTATCAGTTTTCAGAAAAAAAAGTTATACTAAGCTATTATAAATATTAAACAGGCTTATCAACAGCTAATAATTAAAGAAAAAATTTTAAATACTCGAGTTGAATAGCATTAATTGTTAGAAGAGATGAGGTACAATAACTGCTTTAAAAACATAACTTAAAAAAAATCCCAAAACATAAACCAGGTGGAATAGAGTTAGCTGATTTTATGTCTGGCTTTGTTTTAAAATAAGCCAGTATACATTCAAGGGCTTTGTATATATATGATCATGTACTAAAAACAGAAATTTTTCAATGTCTTAAGTTTTGCAGTTCATCTCTTTAAGATCCTGACCTAGCTATCTGATACTTCATTTTAGAAGTCATGAACTCCACTTACCACATATTTTACAGCACTTATAAACTGGTTATGGAAGAGCAGATGCTGTGTTTCATCTTCTGGATTTGAAGCTGTGTAAAGCATGCCACAAACATTACAGGAAACTGCTCCAAATCTTTTTTGTCCTGCATCCTATTTATAAAAAACAAACAAAAAGGTTTTTTTCCCTCCCAAAGGAATAATTCCAGAACGTCAGCCTCTAAAGCTATAATGGGAACATAATATGAGAAGTATTTAATCTGTAATAAAAATTACTCAGTGTTGATTAAAAAAGACATTAATCTGTGAAATCTAAGTATAATTTTAAGAACTGTTTCCATTTTAATAATCTGATCACTTGCTTCACAGCATTTAATAACTGAAAAGAACTGAGAAATACCTTTTAACACTACAATCTTTGTTCTGAAGTGCCAAACAGGAAACATTCTATAAATAAGAACAAAGACACATTCTACATCGGTAATAATTACACTGTTAAAGCTTAAAGGAAATAGTTTTTCACACACCTGTATTTTTTAATGTCTTAAAAGTATATACTTTTTAATGGTTTTGTTCTAGTTTGTAGATACTAAAGAGTATTTTGATGTCACCGGAATCTCCTGAGAAAAGGTAGTATTAATTTTTTCTATTATCTTCATATTAAATAAGTACAAAGTACCATCATCTATTTTCCAGTAATTCATACTTGTGCTGTAGAATACTAACGGTTTACAAAATGTTTTCTATTCTTGTTCTTATTCAACAAGAAGTTTTCAGCAGTGTGATCTAAGTCTAAGAATAATAAACTAATAGAGGTGCGTGGATGGTTAAAGCCAGTTAAGTGCCTGATTCTTGATTTTGGCTCATGTCATTATCTCAGGATCTTGAGACTAAACCCCACATTGCACTCCATGTTGGGCATACAGCCTGCTTAAGATTCTCTCCCTCTGCCCCTCCACTAGTGCATTCTCTTTTTCTCTAAATAAATAAATAAAAATAAACTTAAAAAAAGAAAAAGAATAAACTAGGGCACCCGGGTGGCTCAGTCAAATGTGTCTGTCTTCGGTTCAGGTCACGATCCCAAGGTCCTGGGATCGAGCCCACATCGGGCTCCCCTTTTTCCTCTTCCTGTCCCCCTGCTTGTGCTCTTTATCAAATAAATAAACTATTTTTTTAAAAAAGAATTAATTAATAATCCCTTTATTCTTTCTATTCTAAAACTGTGCAATTTGAATTACTACAAAAAAAACAAGATCTGAGACAATAGCATCTCTAGTGTCTCAGAATTAGAATCAAGTAGCAAAGAGAAGTCAAATGGTAAATTAAAGATTGTGTATAGAACTTAAGGGAAGCTCGGGGCGCCTGGGTGGCTCAGTGGGTTAAAGCCTCTGCCTTCAACTCAGATCATGGTCCAGGGGTCCTGGGATGGAGCCCCACATCGACCTATCTGCTCAGCAGGGAGCCTGCTTCCTCCTATCCCTCTGCCTGCTTCTCTGCCTACTTGTGATCTTTGTCAAATAAATGAATAAAATCTTAAAAAAAAAAAAAAAAAGAACTTAAGGGAAGTTCATTCTAAAGAATTCAAACTATTCACAAATTGTTACATGAAATTTCAGGCAGCTAAAAATTTTTTTTGTAACTGTGGTATGACATACATAGTATTACTATCTTAACGATTTTTAAGTGTACAGTTCAGTAGTGTTAAGTATATTCAAACTGTTATGCAACCAATCTTCAAAATTATTTTCATTTTGCAAAACTGAAACTCTATACCCACTAAATAGGTTCCCAATCCATTTTCCTTACCAGTTCCTAGAAACAACCATTTTACTTTGTCTCTGAATTTGACTACTCTTGGCATCTCACAGAACTGAAATCATACAGTATTTGTCTTTCTGTGACTTATTTCACTTAGCATAATGTCCTTAAGGTTCAACCATGCTGTGGCATGCCAGAGTTTCTTCTTTTTTAAGGTTGAATAATATTCCATTTTATGTGTACACCATATTTTGTTTATCCATTTATCCTTGATGGATACTTTGATTGCTTTCACCTTCTGGCTATTATGATTAATGAACACTAGTGTACAAATATCTCTATAAGCAGGCAATACTCATAATAATGAATAAACATCTCTTCCTTGGTTTCTTAATTGGTACATGGGAAATAATAGTACCTACCTCATACTTTAAAAACTAAGGCTTAATTAAGTTAATATGAGTGGAATACACAAAATAATGTATTCAAAAAGTATTAGCTATCATCATGATCATTAACATCACCATCAACTCTTGACTAGAAGTGCAATCCACAAATGTAATTTTAAATTTTCTAGTAGCTATGTTAAAGGATGCAAAAACAAATATGTGAATTTTAATATTTTATACAACAAAACATATCCCAAATATTATAATTCCAACATATACGAAATAGAAAAAAGAACTTATTAGTGAAATACTTTACAATCCCTTTTCTGTATTAGTCTTTAAAATGTAGTAAACACATTTATACTTATAGTGTATCACAGTTCTGATGAGCCACATTTCAAATACTAAATGGCCACATGTGGCTACCATACTGGTCAGTGAAGCTCCAGATTCTACTATTCTTATCCTGTTTCACTATTAATATTAACAACAGAAATGTAATTAAATCTGATGAAACATTTTCCTGATTAAGCTTTCTCAAAAATTTCCAGATAATTCTTAATAAGTAATTCCCCTATATTAGAGTTAGCATTAATAATATTCCCAAAAAATCCTACTGACAATGTTGACTGGAAATACAGTAAATTTTCCTGTTATTTTGGGCCCCTTCATTTTTTTTATAGTGTGCTCACTCATTCAGATTAGATTTTTAATCAAACAAAATATCTCTCTCTCTTTTACAACTTGCCACCAAACTGCAGAGTGGTTAAGTTCTATTTCAAATTAACTATTGATTTATCTTCCAATGAAACAGTTTTAAAATTATAAAATTACACTAAAATACAGATATTTAAAATCATTTTATGCATTAACCTCCCTGTTTTTTAATATTTAAACCAACTACTAAAACAAGGTACATCAAATGACATATTTAAGAAAGTAACAAATGATAAAATACACAAATGTAAAATAAAGTATCAATCGGTCCTGAATAAAACTAAAAGCATGGAGATTTTGAGTTTTTATTTGTGACAGGAGGGCCTCACTACTGGGCGGCCAGAAGGGCATTTGTAATGATACCAAAATTATTTCCATAACGATTTATGGTGACAAGAAAGGCTCTTTGAAAAAAGGTTGAACTTATTCTTTAACAATGTGCGTAAGTAAGATGATTACTAAAACCCTTTGCCAAAAAGGTCAAGTTGGGTACTTACTATGATCAACTGTTTTTCATCAACTTTATCTGTTTCTTTTAGTTTCAAGTCCTTTGGAATTGTTATCTCCAAATGGGAATTACACTTAGTCCAAGAATGATTTGGTGGTGTCTCCCTTTAAAAAAAAAAAACAAAACAACTTTTACTATACAACACTCACAGATTTCAACAGCAAGGGGGAAAAGAATAACCTTTTAAAAATCAAGGGGAGAAAACCCAAGAAAATTACCAATTTTCAACAAATAAAAAACTGCTGTACCTACTATAATTTGAATAAGTTTTAAGGTTTTTTTGGTAATTTTTAGCCATCTCAGTTACTACAGTTTGTCCTAAATACTGTTTTCAGTAATCTAGAAAGCAAAATAACGCAGATTTAATTTTATTCTGATATTAAAGAGAATGGAATGCTTTTAAAACATTTAAAATACTTTTACATGTTGATAATAAAGAGTACTTCAAGCGGTTTGCAGAAAGGTGCATTCTCAAAACACAGTTGCTGGAAATATAAAAAGACACACACTGGAGGAAAATATGGCAATGCAGGTTATATGCTATAGCTATAAACTTATCCTAGATATAGTAATAAAAATGGGCAAAGATGCTTGTGTTTACTGCAGAATTGTTTTTGGGACAGAAATTAACTAGAAACAACCAAAATGTCTATGAAGTGGAGAGCTGTTAAATAAACAATGGAATATTCACACAATAAAATCTAATACAGACTTAATAGAATGAGGTAGTTAAGAAAAGATGCTACAGGGGCGCCTGGGTGGCTCAGTGGGTTAAAGCCTCTGCCTTTGGCTCAGGTCATGATCTCAGGGTCCTGGGATCAAGCCCCACATCGGGCTCTCTTCTTGGCGGGGAGCCTGCTTCCCCTCTCTCTCTGCCTGCCTCTCTGCCTAGTTGCGATCTCTGTCAAATAAATAAATAAAATCTTTAAAAAAAAAAAAAAAAGGATGCTATATCAGGGAAATACAATCAAAACCACAATAAGATACCACCTCACACCAGTCAGAATGGCTAAAATTAACAAGTCAGGAAAAAGATGCTGGCAAGGATGCGGAGAAAGGGCAACCCTCCTACACTGTTGGTGGGAATGCAAGCTGGTGCAGCCACTCTGGAAAACAGCATGGAGGTTCCTCAAAAAGTTGAAAATAGAGCTACCCTACGACCCAGCAATTGTACTACTGGATATTTACACTAAAGATAGAAATGTAGTGATCCGAAGGGGCACATGCACCCAAATGTTTATAGCAGCGATGTCCACAACAGCCAAACTATGGAAAGAACCTAGATGTCCATCAACAGATGAGTGGATAAAGAAGATGTGGTGTATATATATACAATGGAATACTATGCAGCCATCAAAAGAAATGAAATCTTGCCATTTGCAACGACGTGGATAGAACTAGAGGGTATTATGCTTAGCAAAATAAGTCAATCAGAGAAAGACAATTATATGATCTCCCTGATATATCATATGATCTCCCTGATATGAGGAAGCTGAGAGGCAATATGGGGGGTTTAAGGGGTGGGAAAAGAATAAATGAAACAAGATGGGATCAGGAGGGAGACAAACCATAAGAGACTCTTAATCTCACAAAACAAACAGGGTTGCTGGGGGGATGGGGGTAGGGACAGGATGGTGGGGTTATGGACATTGGGGAAGGTATGTGCTATGAAGCATGTAAACCTGGGGATTCACAGACCTGTACCCCTGGGGCTAATAATACACCATATGTTAATAAAAAAATAATAATAAAAATAAATAAAATTTTAAAAATAATAAAATTTTAAAAAAAGAAAAGATGCTATAACACCATAAGTAAAAAAACAAAAACTGTAAAACATGTAGAGGCACAAAAAAAGTAAAATAAAAACAGAACTTGTGACTATCACATTCTCTCTACAAGGAAAACGGAGGATTACTAGCACAAGTTTTTAGGGAAAAATACCCCAAACTTGAAAGGTGTAAGTATAAAATCCTTAAACTCTATTAAAAACAAGACAAAGGTCCAGAATGGAATTGCTTATGCTAAGCTCCATATTACCAAACTTGGACTTAGTTTTAGTCCTTCAAGAAATGGAATCTTAAACTAGTCAGTCAGGAATCACCTAACTAGCACTAGTTAGGTAATTTGCCTAAAAGACCTCTGCCATCTCTCCCAAAGGAAAGTAACTTTGCGATAATCAACCCACTTTCTTGCCAGTTATAACTTCCTTATGCCCACACCTTTCTGCTTGGAGATCTTTTCTATCTTGGAGCTCCTTTCTATCTGTGAGACTACATAATGCCCAAATCGAACTGACTTTTGTTCAAATAAACAAAAATTGTAAAAGGCTCAGTTTATCTTCTAACAGTTCTCATATTTATTCTTATATTAAACTAATGTCTTACCTGTTATCACTGGTCCTAGATGTTTGGTTACTGAGTACAGTATGCTGTTTGGGAGCTGAACCTGTAATTTAATCAAGAAAGTGAGTTACACATTAAGCTTTGTACTACTTCTCCATCTAACAGCTGAAAATCATTATAAAGAAAAAAGAGAACAATGCACTGTTTTAATTTTAATAAAAACCATTTGATTAAATTAGAGTCCCTTTCTAGAAATCACTCTTCAGAAAAGGAGAATAAGGCAAGGCTCTACAGAGCCACTAAGAGATCCAATGGTAGATGAACAGTGTGTTTCCAGATTCCAGCAATCACTAGCACTGAATAATAAAGCAAACTGTGTAAACGCCTGTATCATTATACACACTCTAAATGGAAATTTCCTAATGGAAATGGGAACATAGCTTGTTTAAAAAAAATTGTAGTCCACAAGAAACAGTGAGTGTTGGTGAGGATGTGGAGAAAAAGGAACCCTCCTGCAGTGTTGGTGGGAATGCAAATTGGTACAGCTACTGTGGAAAACAGTAGAGTGGTTCCTCAAAAAATTAAAAAAAGAATTACTGTATGATCCAGTAATTTCACTACTGGGTATTTACCCAAAGAATACAAAAATACCAATTCAAAAAGATACATGCACCCCTATATTTATTGCACCATTATTTAAAATAGCCAAATTGTGGAAGCAACCCAAGTGTCCATCAAGAGATGAGTGGATAAAAAAGATATGGTTTATATACATACATATAATGGAATATTACTCAGCCACAAAAATGAATGAAATCTTGCCAGCTGCAACATGGATGGATTCAGAGGTTGTAATGCTAAATGAAATAAGTCAGTTAGAGAAAGATAAATACCATGTGATTACACTCATCTGTAGGAGTTTAAGAAACAAAACAGGAAAAAAAGAGACAAAGACTCTTAAATATAGAGAACAAATTGGTAGTTACCACAGGGGAGGTGGGTAGAGGAATGGGTGAAAGAGGTGAAGGGGATTAAGAGTATACTTATAATGAACACTAAGTATAGAATCGCTGAATCACTATACTGCATACCTGAAACTAATACAAAACTATGTTAATTATACTGAAATTTTTAAATTGTAGCTTCTAAAGTTTTAATAACATTAATAAATAATGCAATAATTCATTTTTTCCAATGAATAAGTAGTACATTTATCATATCATACTTCCCTTTCCTCCACCTAGAGAAAAGGTTAAATAACATGCAATGAAAGACATTATCTGACCTCAACATACTGCTCCATGTATACCTTTCCTTTAGCAGGGAGAAACAGGAATTAGGAATTCCTTTTCTGTATTACCTCAGGCTTCATCTGATAAAGGTGAGCAAATCCCCATCCAACAGCTCAAACAATGTATTGTCAAAAAATTTTTACAAGGTCACACACAAAAAAGTCTTTGTATGGCATAACTGCCCAAATTGCAGCCTTGTGGTTTTTTTTTTTTTGGGTTTTTTTTTGTTTTTTGTTTTTTTTAAGTAAGGCTCAACTGAGCCAGCCGGTGCCCCTGCAGCATTTAAAAATCCTTTCAAAGTTAGAACCACTAACATGGAAAAGTGAGTAATCAAGGGTTAAAGATAAGAATCTGAAGTGGAAAAACACAAATAGTCTTTGTACTTGAAAAATAAGCTCCTACCACTAACTTATGCAATTCATTAAGTAATACTTCTCCAGAAAGTAAGTCATAAGCAAGATAAAATATTTAAAATAAACAAAAGAACTTTTGGTAGTGAGTCAAAGAATCTTAAGTAATTTATTATTTTTTTATTTACAATTTATCAATATATGTAAACTGGTATTTTATTTTTATACTTCATTCCCCAAAAATGTTTTAGGAAAACATTTAAAACATAAACAATGTATTTTCTAAAGGAAAAGTTAAAGTTATCCAAGTTAGTTGACGTTTGGCTAATGTGCTTTGTTTTGGTTTTGGACCCAATCTTATTGATCATCCAGGCCATTTTATTTTTTAATACTTAAGTAATTTAAACAAGCTAAGAAAGAAAAGCAATTCTACCCCAAAGAATGGTAGTAAAGATAAAAACAAAAAACAAAAAAGAATGGCGATAATCACACATTTGAAAAACACACACAATAGCTCAGAAGAATTTAACTGGCCTATATGATAATCAGTACTGCTTTCTATCATGGTGACAAAAATACTTTTGAACACTGAGAAACCCAAAAAATATTTCCAAAGTTTTACCTGGAAATTTATTCTCCCCTGTATCAATTTTTGCTTGGCTGAGCAGAGCCGAAACAGTAGAGGTATTTCCCACTGAATTGTTTTCAATCTTGGATTCCAAACACAGACTGAAATTCTAAATATACAAAATTCAAAACGTTAATATTTCTTTCATATAAACCTTGGGGACTCATCCCAAGATACTTTCAGTGAATCTTAGCATACTAAAATTTAAGATAATACTTCACAGTTGGAGTAATTCACATTGATATGCCTTAAAAGTATTTTGATCTCCCGACAGCTACTCTCTTAACATCAACTCCCATTTTTTCCCTTCATGCTACATTGAAAGCCTTGCAAATCCCATAGATATATTCTATATCTGCCTGTTCAATCTATCTAAATCTGCACTCTCCAATACAGTAGCCACACCTCATCTGACTACTGAGCACTTAAAAGGTCATTAGTATGACTGCTTTGAGACTATGTTGTAAATACGAAACACACACCAAATTTTTAAGACTTAAAAAAAGTAAAATATCTCAATTTTTAAAATTGATTACATACTGAAATAATAGTATTTTTATATGATAGATTAAATAAAATATATTCATTTTACCAGTGTATTATTCTTTTTAATGTGGCTACCAGAAAATTTTAAGTAGTATATGTGGTTCACTTTACATTTTTACTGGATAGTGCTGATGTAGAACCTTTCCCCCGTATCAGCTCAACTCATTACTTAAATATTAACATTTTCCATGAGGTGTTCTCCAAGTTTCCCTATGCCATTTTCCCAATTTTGGAATAATTCTCCATCTATTTCATCTCTACCTCTTTCATGTCCTTATTACTTCTATCAATTAGTTACTTGTTTTTGATTCATCTTCTGTAACTCTTTTCTTAAGATTTTTTTTTTAAAGATTTTATCTATTTATTTGACAGACAGAGATCACAAATAGGCAGGGAGCAGGCAGAGAGAGAGAGGGAAGCAGGCTCCTCAGGACCCTGGGATAGTGACCTGAGCTGACGGCAGAGGCTTTAACCCACTGAACCACCCAAGCGCCCCATTTTTTTTTAAAGATTTATTTGAGAGAGAGAGAAAGTGAGAAAGAGCATGAGAGGGGAGAAGGTCAGAGGGATAAGCAGACTCCCCAGGGATCTGGGAGCGGGATGTGGGACTTGATCCTGGGACTCCGGGATCATGACCTGAGCTGAAGGCAGTGGCTTAATCAACTGAGACACCCAAGTGCCCTCATCTTCTGTAACTCTTAAGGGATAAGATCATATTACACTTATCTTTGTATTCCCAAGATTCCCTAAATCAGAACACTGTCAAAGCTGATACTCAGTAAACTACCAAAAAAACAACAACAACAACAACAAACCACAAAACTCCACACTCTATTAACACTGGCTGTATCTGTATTGTGATTATTACATTCAACATGTAACATTTTTGAATATTTTTTAAAAAGTGAATGATTTTTGTCATTGAAAAAGCAGAAAAATTAAAAATAACAATGACAGGGGCGCCTGGGTGGCTCAGCAGATTAAAGCCTCTACCTTCGGCTTAGGTCATGATCCCAGGGTCCTGGGATCGAGCCCCGCATCAGGCTCTCTGCTCAGCGGGGAGCCTGTTTCCTCCTCTCTGCCTGCCTCTCTGCCTGACTGTGATCTCTGTCTGTCAAATAAATAAATAAAATCTTAAAAAAAAAAATAACAATGACAAATTACCAATTAATCTCCATTAAATAGGACGGAATTTAGTAAATTACTGGCTTAAAAAATAAATCATAATATAACTGGGCTTTAAAATTCCTAAAGTTCAAATAATTTTTTTAAAGATTTCTTTATTTTAGAGAAAGAGAGCATGAGAGAGCAGGAGAGACCAAGAGAGAGGGCTAAGAAGGAGAGAGAGAATCTCAAGCAAACTCTCCACTGAGCAAGAAGCCTGACAAGGCGCTCAATCCTAGAACGCTGAGATCATGACCTGAGCCAAAATCAAGAGTCAGTCCGATGTTTCATCGACTTGGCCACCTAGATTCCCCATGTTCAAATAATTTAAATTCAGTCCAAAGAATTAAAAGAAGGCCTATCAAATGCTTAGCCTTATCAACCATCATTTCTCAGTACTGCTAAAATTGACATAAAAATTACAGGCAGCCATAGAAAAAGATTTCGTATGATATAAGATTTGTTTTTATATTCTCCTTCCTCCCCTAGTATAACCCCGTGAGACACTGAGGCCAGTCAATTTCAGTTTAAATCCTAGCTCTACCACTTATAAATCACTCAGGTAAGGTACTTAAATTTCTAAGCCTCACTCTCATCTATAATATGTAGGTAATAAGAGAAACTACAGTATAGATTGTGGTGACAATTGTATGAAGCTCTCCTTTGACTAACAAAGAGGCAGTGCTCACCAAAGGCTATTATGTTCTTAACCTAAAGCTATTATGATGGTTAAACTAAACTACCTCAATTCTTAGTGCTCAGGACAAGAAGAAAAATCTCTTAAGTGACTGCTATAATGGAAATTCCTTAAAGGTAGGAAACGCTTCCTCTTCTGTAGCCCTAGCAGAACTTCTTGGACACGGCAGACACAACTACATCTTCAACTGAATGGTTACCCAATTCCCTGACCACTCTGTAAAAGTAATCATATCACTGGTATTGGTGAAAACAGAAACAACCTGAAGGGGCTTTAGAAGAGGAAAACAAACTGTGGTATACTCATTTACAGCTATTAAAATACCCATGTATTGGTTAAGTATCAAATGCTGACTGCACAAAACAAATTGCCAAAAAAACCCCCCCCACACACCATTTTAGCATTTAACATTTAAACATTTAAAACACTGTAATATTAAAAACACACAGAAAACATTTCAAACACAAACACTGCTAAGTATTCTTTATGGATATACATACACATACACAGTGAACTAATAAAAATAGAAAATGAGAAGATCCCCACCAACTTCACAAACACATTTAACTCTGGGAAGAGAGCTGAATGGAAAGAAGAGGGAGAATAATGGCTTTTTCCTGTACCTGTAACGTACTTTCCTTATTTTAAAAAACCAGCATTCAATAAAATGTTAGTTTTTGTCAAATTTGGGTGGTAGACACAAGTATGTTAGTGTCTGTAGTATTCTGAATGTTTTAAATATTCAAGAATTTACAAATGTGAATAAAATTTTTAACACAAGTTTCATAGGACGGTTTCTCACAATGCACCTCAAGAGAAAGAGTATAATCCAAAGCACATTCCAGTAAAAGCAATATTATAAGTAAAAATAATGTGATCTAAGTAAGAATCTCTATTCTAGTAGTTTACTCCAAAGGATTACATTTTCTTATTCTTCAATATAATTCTCCACAAACTGAGGGTTTTTTATTTTAGTGGACACGAAATGTTATATTACTTTCAGCTGTACAACAGTGATTCAACACCTCTCTATATATTATCCTATGCTCACAAGTGTAGTGACCATCTGTCATCATACAACACTACTACAGTATCGCTAACTATATTCCCTATGCTGTACCTTTTATCCCCATGACTTACCTCACAAACTGAGTTTTGACATTTATGTAGCAAAGGAGTAGAAGATAAACTCTGCAGCTACAACTGGAATATAGATATCAATTTGCTGACAAAACATACTCTGAATAGAAAGCCACCCCATCTCTCATGAAAGCCACACTTGTTACTCACACTACCACTCACTGCTTACTTCTAATTACTATCACTATTTGAATAATTATCTAATTGATGCTTTCATTCCCATTTGTTCAGAAAATAAAATCTACGAGTACCATATGGTATCTGTTCCCTTCAATTTGATTTGTACTCCACACAAACAGACAATGATCTATTTTCATGGCTTCTGGCATAAAGCCCAGACTCTTCAGTCATTCGAAGTTGCTTCTAGAACAAAATATCTCTAAAGAGAACTTTAAATCATTCCCAAAACTTTGGGATGACTTGACTTTTTTCTCTGCTCACAGTGATTTTTTTCTCAAATGATCTAATGTTCAAAGTACGTAACTGTAGGAAAAAAATGCTGGGCTGAGAATCAGAACACCAGAAAATTCAATCCTATTTGTGCCCTCAAACATGTGATCTAAATCACATTCCTCTACTGTGCTCAGTTTTCTCATTACCAAATTAAACAATTAAAACAAATTAGTCAAGTTTTTCAAATCTATATTATATTATAGAGCTCCATGGTTCTATGCATAAATAAATTTCTGCTTATTGGTTTATATATTGGGATTTTACCTGTGATTCAATTTGAAAAAAATTGGCTCAGATGCTTTTAGTTTCAAACTACTTCCTCAGATAATCATTAAAGTTTCTTCTAGCTATTAGATTCCCTTCCTTTTTTTTTTTTAAAAAGATTTTATTTATTTATTTGACAGAGATCACAAGTAGGCAGAGAGGCAGGCAGAGACAGAGGAGAGAGCAGGCTCCCTGCTGAGTAGAGAGCCCGATGTGGGGCTCGATTCCAGGACCCTGAGACCATGACCTGAGCCGAAGGCAGAGGCTTTAACCCACTGAGCCACCCAGGTGCCCCTCCCTTCCTTTTTTTTAAAGATTCTGTTATTCCATTTATTTTTCCATTTTAAAAAATTCTTCACCACTAATCTTAAATTGAAGTCTGAATTATTTACATCTTTCAGACATTTTATTTGTCCAACTGTTCAAAATGATCACAAAAGTCAAACTTAAAAGGCACCCCTACTACTAGAAATGTTTAATTTTCTCAATTTTTATCAGGTGGAAAAAAGGGGCTGATCTGTGCCAGCTAAAATTAATTTTTAACAGTTTGGTCAGAATAAGGCCGAAGTTTAATTTCTATATTTTAGTCACTATGAAACATAGTTTCTGTGGTTACAATGAAAAGAAAAAGCAAATCAGTGTGTTGAAGAAAAGTTAGGAGGTAAGCGAATGGGCAAAATTAATAAAGGGGAGTGAGAAACACAGTCATGGAATAAATAAGTCATGGGAATAAAAGGTAGAGCATAGGGAATATAGTCAATATTATAATAGCATTGTATGGTAACAGGTGGTAGCCACACTTGTGGTGAGCAAAGCATAACATACAGAGATGTTAAATCACTATGTTGTACACCAGAAACTAACAAAACGCTGTGGGTCAACTATGCTCAAAAAAATTGTTAAAAAGAAGAAGAAAAGTTAGAATTCAACAGGATTATGCTTCATATAAAATAAAAATGAAAGGTGAAAATAAGGAAGCAATGAGAAGCATTTATGTAAACATCAGACATCTAAAGCTACCACTAAGTTCTATCACTCACTACATGACTGAGTTAATAAAACACTATTAACAACTAAACAGGATACCTTAACAAATGACTCCTGTCTTTTATGACTTGATTCTTAAGCTAAAATATGCTAAAATTTAACAGACAGTACTCAGGTACCTCTACTGCACATAATGAAAATAAATTACCTTATCTGGTGCTGATTCAAAAGAATCTTTCCTCTGGTTATCCAACGGTGGGTCAGGAGGTGGTTTTATCTGATTATCCAAATGGCAATTTTCAGAAGACCTTTTTGTGGTTTTATTAACTTCAACTGTAACATCATTAGTTTTAACTTCTTCAGAATTAATTTCTTTCATTTCTTCCTGCTGGCAAGCTGTATTTTTATCGTTATGTAGTTTTGTCCCTAAAAATGTACTTTGAGTAGCTGGATGATGCATTTCTAAGGCTGGGAGAGAAAAACTGGTTCGTATTAAGCCCAATTTAGGGGAAACTTGAGAGTCCAACTTATTTTGCTGCACAGAGTTAAATTTTGAGAGTTTAATTTTAGTCCAGTTGGAGTTCTTTTTAGTTGAGTTGTTTATTCCATTTAGTATACATTTCACAGGCTTTGTTTTTCTACTGGGGAAGAAACGATTACATTGAACATCCTGATTGGTTTCCTTCTGATGAAGTATTTGTCTTTCATTATCAGTCTCTTCCAATTTTATTTCTGTAGGTTTCTCCTCCTTTACACTTTCCATTTGTGAAGATTCCTTTTTTACCTCTACAGTATCAGACTCAATCTCACCAGCAATTTCTTCACAGAGCTGAAGAATGCTACCTCGTTTGCTCTTTCCCGCTTGCTCCAGCTCCTTATCTACCCTTTCTTCAGGCACTGACGGCTGTGGACTTTTTTGGGATTTTGCACTAGTATTCACTTGCGTATAAACAGACTTCTTCACCTCATTCTTTTCAGAGACTGCTGAAGTAACCATTTTTGATCTTCTTATCTCAGAAGTTACAGGCACAGATTTTATTTCCTCTTTTCTAGTGTTCTTCTGAAGACATTTTTCAGATCCTTTTGTGCACTGAGAACTGCAAGTAGAAGCTGTTTGATGCTCTACTTTGCGTTTTTTTCCTTTGGGGGAATTTATTACGTCATTAATTACTAGATTTTCATCCTCTTTAGAATCAGACTTTATTTCCGGTACTTTTCTTTTCACATGTTTTTGACTTGCTTTAGCTTTGTTAGATTTACTTTGAGAATTGTTACAGTGCTCTTTCCTTGGTGGCAAAGTCTGTTTAACTGCTTGAACTTGACCCTGAATTTCTCTATTACGCAGAGACCTTGTTGAAACTTCTGTTAACTGTTGTAGTCTTTGTGATCTCCGGTTAAGCTGTTCGTTTGATTTAGGAGTTCCATGCACTGACTTTTTCTGAGGTAATTTCTTCTTTTTTGTAGATTCTTGTTGTGAATTTCCCTTCACAGTCACCATATTTTTATTAATGGATTTACTAGCTTTTTTATCATTGGACGCGGCTTTTGCTGACCTTGTACTCATGCATGTTCCTAATCCAGGTTGATTTATTTTACTCTCACTAGAAGATTTAACCAGTGATTTTACAGCTTCCTTTGGACCTGATTTTTTTGCCAGATTCGTTTGAGAACCTTGAATTTGTGTTTCTAAATTCTTATCTTCACTTTTTCTAACAACATTAGAGGAATTTTCTTTTGATTTCTCCTGAATGGACATCATTCCTGAGTAAGGTCCTCCTTTTCTGAGTAGTTTTTGGGAGAATTTTCGTGTCCTGATAGGTGTGAATGCTGAATGTCTAGTATTATTACTGAGGAGGTCTTAAAAATCAACTTTGAGGCTGATGAACATTTTCAGCAAAAATACTATTTTGCTTCAAGTAAGGTTTCGGTCATCCCTAGGACATGAGAAAATCTGATATGAAGGCTGAAAGATATTTGCTTTACTGCTGGACAAGGCAATAGAAATTTGAGGAAAATTTAATTCTAATTTGATATTTAAGAACTTTTTATGAAAAAAAATTCAGGTTCAATCTGTTTTGTTAATTTTTCAATTAATATTGGTATTCAGGCCTAGCCCTATTACTGGAAGAATTATTTATCACTGACCTGTTTTGACAAAGATTTTGAAACCTTTTTTCTTCTGAAGTCTACAGTTACTGGACTTCGATTCACTTGAAACATGTCTTACAGCTAACAGGTTTCTTTCCTTGTTTGCTGAGACTGTTAGTTTAAAGTTCTTATCTAACCTCTTTCGTTTAACAAAATACTCTATTAATATAGATTTCCTTTTGTGCTGCCATTTCTGAAAAATTAAAAAAAATTAAAATTAAATTTTGTACAATCCAAGAAATATGGCAATGCTAATACTATACAGAAATAATATTGATTTATATAAACCCTACTTCTCCTTTTTAATTATTTAGTCTGTGTAACTAAGACTAACAGAATAAAGTATCCCAAAGTACATTCTTATAAGTAAATGATAACTTGTTTTACATAAGCATAGGATAGTTGAAATCAGTTTATTTCTTGAAGCTACTTACAATTCTTTTCCCACAAGATAGAATTGATCTTTCAGCCACCATAACTCATGAGAATTTGGCAAATTCATTCCTTAAAGTATCCTCTTAACACATTACACAGAACCTAAAAAAAAAAAAAAAAATTTTTTTAAGTGTTTAAAAGGTGCAAAGATGTAAATTATTCATTCACCATTGATCAAATATAACACTCCACAACTTTATGATGTCCTATCATTAGTCTTCATACATACCATTTAGTTTTAGTATTTCTAACCTTAAGTAGATGGTCCATTTTATGTTGTAGAAAAACAATTTTAAAATATAAAACACAATTCATAATAGTAAAATCCTATTTTGAGGGAAAAAAGTGCACATAACTACTTGTACATAGAAAAACACTGATACACAGTTAAAAAGGCAGATTTAAACACACATTTTGCTCTACTCTCATGGAAAACCTACTTTAAAAAAGCAATAGATTAACAGAAGACAAAACCATAAATCCAAAGGATAAAGAAAAGAGTAAATGGTAAAAATAAAATATGGAAGCTACAAAGAATGACAAATAATAACCTCTAGACTCAAGAAAACTTGAATCCTAAGCTGGAAATGGGGAAAGCTAAGAAGCAGCCCTCCACAGAATCCCCAAAAACTAAGGAACTGCCAGTCCCAAGCTCCATAGGAGATAAGGATGAAAATAGGAGTCAAAAAAGCAGAAAGAGGGGCACCTGGGTGGTGGCTCAGTCATTAGGCATCTGCTTTCGGCTCAGTCATGATCCCAGGGTCCTGGGATGGGCAGGAAGCCTGCTTCTCCCTCTCCCACTCCCCTGTGTTCCCTCTCTCACTGTGTCTCTCTCTGTCAAATAAATAAATAAAATCTAAAAAAAAAAAGGCAGAAAGATTCCAAGACTGCCATTCCAATTACTAGGACCAGAAAACTGCCCTGCATCCCTTAAGACCCTGGTATAAATCTCTGGAAAAGAGTGTAACAAAAAGTATTTGGTCTGAGGGCTCAAGAGTGACAGGTAAGGGCAGAAGTAACATACTGACAATAGAGGAAATAAGTAGGAGTACACACAGAGCTGAAACCTACTCCCCCTCTACCTAAAATCCTCCCTGCACACTGAGAAACTCCTAGAAGAAGCAGCCCAGACTGTACCTTCCTGGAAGGAAACTGGAAGACCATTTTTTTTTTTTAAAGATTTTATTTATTTATTTGACAGACAGAGATCACAAGCAGGCTGAGAGGCAGGCAGAGAGAGAGAGAGAGAGAGAGAGAGAGAGGAGGAAGCAGGTTCCCTGCTAAGCAGAGAGCGCGACGCGGGGCTCGATCCCAGCATCCTGGGATCATGACCTGAGCCAAAGGCAGAGGCCTTTACCCACTAAACCACCCAGGCGCCCCTGGAAGACCATTTTTTAATGAATTTGACAGGCCTAGAGGTAAAAGAACTAAAAAAATACCCAATAAGTGTGCACATGCATGTGCGCACACACACACACACACACACACACACACATTTAGACCCTACAGTTAAGAAACTACCAGCCCACCCACCATCCAAACAGACAAAACTTCCAAGTCAGTTTTTAGTGTCTCATTTGCAACTCTGGGCAAATAAACAAGAATCATAATATATGAGGAAAACCTTAAAATGAAAAAAAAACAAAAACAAAAAACAAAACACAGAAGAAACAAATAGCTTGGCAGAAACAAACTATGGAAAGCCAAAAACTAAAAATAAGCTAATCTATCCATGAAACAAATATACAAGAACATTCACAATAAAAAGGAACACATAAAAATTAAAAATATAAAAGAAATGAAAAGAGTCAATAAAAGCATTAGAAGAGTGGTGCGTGCTGGAGTGGCATAATCAGTTATGTGTCTGACTGTTGGTTTTGGCTCAGGTCATGATCTCAGGGCTGAGCCCCACAAGTCTCTGCACTCAGCACAGTCTGCTTAGGACTCCCTCCCTCTCCCTCTGCCCCTCCTCTGCATGTGCTCATGCACACACTAAAATAAATAAATCTTAAAAAATAAAAAAGCATTAGAAGATAAAAGTAAGAAGATCTCCTATAAAGTCAAACAAAATAGATGTCAAATAGGAGACAAAAGAAGAAAATTAAAGGACTATCCAAAGAGATCCAACAGTCCAGCAACTGGGATTTTAGAAAAAAAAAAAAAAAAAAAACTAAGAGTTCAGGAAATTTTCCTAGTACTGAAAGAAATTAGTTTCTGGGAATTTTTTTTTTATGATTTTATTTATTTACTTGAGAGAGACAGAGATAGCAACAGAGATAAGAGCGAGCATGAGCAGGGAGAAGAGGTGAGAAGCAGTCTCCTCAGAGCCCGATGTAGGGCTTAATCCCAGGACCCTGGAATCATGACCTGAGACAAAGGTAGATGCTTAACTGACTTTGCCACCAGATGCCTGAGTTTCCAGATTTAAAGGGCCAAGAACACCAAGCACAATTGATTAAAAAAAAGATGTTAAGGAGTGCCTGGGTGGCTCAGTCAGTTAAGCATCTGCCTACGGCTCAGGTCATGATCCTGAGGTCCAGGGATCAAGTCCTACACTGGCCTCATTGTTTAACAGGAGTCTGCTTCTCCATCTGCCTGCCACTCTCCCTGCTTATGCTTGCTCCCTCTGACAAATAAATAAAATCTTTTTTTAAAAAAAGTCAAAAATGTATCATGAGGACAAGAAGATGACCCTCAAGCTTCTTCTAGGGAGGGGGAAAAAAATCTTGATCACATACATATTATACATGCAAATTATTATCTACAAGGAAGAAAAAACAAAATTAGTATGTGAATTTATAAAGGATAATAAATTTTAAAAATTGAAAATCAAAACCAAAAGCTTTAAATAAACAATCAACTGAAATACGTAATAGAAGAAAATATCACATGCCAGTTTATAACACACACATACACAAATAAAACTTACAAAGTAAGTGTAGATCTGTGTCACTTAGTTATAATAATTAACAATTTAGTTCCAACAAATCAATAGACAAGAGAAAGCAGAGACTCCAAAAATAGGCCCAAGTGCATAAGGGAAGCTAGTACATATAAAGGTAGTATTAATTACTCTCAAATTAATGAAGAAAAGATTATTCAACAACTGGTGTCAAGACAAGCAGGTAACCATCTGGGTAATTTTGGTTTAAAAGTGCAGTTACATCCAGGAAAAATTTAACCATTAAAAGTTAAACAAAAGTTAAAATACAGCAAATTAAAATGTGGGAGAATTTTTTTTAATGAGAAGAACTAGTTAATTGTAACTTGTACAATATCCTAGTTATACTTGATTTTAGAAAAACAGACAAATTTTTGCTCTACTCTTTCAAAGTTTTTTTTAATGGACAAAGTTGGAAAATTTATTGTCACTCCCCCCACACTTTCCAGAAAGTCCTTCAAAAAAGTTAGACTGAAATATTTTTCTACTGTAATGATGATGATCTTTTAGGTGGGGCAGTTAAAAGGTAAATTTTTTTTTCTTAATTAACATATAATGTATTGTTTCAGGGGCACAGGTCTGTGATGCATCAGACTTACACAATTCACAGCACTCACCATAGTACATATGCTCCCCAATGTCCATCACCCAGCCATCCCATCCCTCCCACCCCCCTCTACTCCAGCAACCCTCAGTTTGTTTCCTGAGATTAAGAGTCTCTTATCTCTTATGGTTTGTCTCCCTCTCTTGTCTCCTCTTGTTTCATTTTTCTCTTCACTTCCCCTATGATCCTCTGTCTTGTTTCTCAAATTCCTCATATCAAAGAGATCATATGATAATTGTCTTTCTCTGATTGACTTATTTTGCTTAGCATAATGCCCTCTAGTTCCATCCACATCATTGCAAATGGCAAGATTTCATTTTCAGATGGCTGCATAATATTCCATTGTATATATACACCACATCTTCTTTATCCATTTCATCTGCTGATGAACACCAAGGCTCTTTCCATAGTTTGGCTATTGTGAACATTGCTGCTATAAACATTCAGGTGCACGTGCCCCTTCAGATCACTACATTTGTATCTTTGGTGTAAATAAAATGTGGGAGAATTTTAACATTTATTTGCAGAGTGGGAAAAACTTTCAAACCTTGTCAGAATATTCAGAAGCCAGGTTGGAGGAACAAAACTAGGAAAATACACTGGCAAGAAATAGCAAAAGCTAATTACCATGATATATTCACAGGAAGAAACCACAGATGGCGGGTGTGATAACAGAAAAATTTACGTTAGAATTAAAACACCAGCAGAACGGCCAAAGATCGGGAAGTTTAACAATACAGTCTTGGCAAAGGTTTGTGACAGGTACTGTCACATTAGTGCAGATAATTCAATGTCTACACAAGACAATTAGGCAGTATCTATCAAATTATAAATGTTAAATTTCAAACAATTCCATTTCCAGGACTTTATATTATAGACACATGCACAAGTGCTCAAAAACACAAATAAATATAAAATTACAACACTGTATCAAGAGACTGAGTACCCCAGCCAAATGGATACCACTATAAACTACTTATATAATCGACTAAATTATATATACTACCAACAGAATACCATGCAGTCACATCAACTCAATTCCAAGCAAAATTTCCAGTCATTTTATACAGAAACTGACAAACTGATTTTAAAACTTGCATGAAATAGAAGAAACTATGTAAAAGACTAGTCAAAAAGCCTTTAAAAATTTTTTGTGTAATACTGATATTTTTCTGTGTAATACTGATACTATTAAACGTTAGTAAATCTACAGTAATCAAGACACTCTAATACTGATAAAGGAAACAGAGATCAATGGAATAGAGAATCCAAAAACAGACCCATACATTTATGATCAGTTGGTTTTATTTTTTTTTTAAGATTTTATTTATTTATTTGACAGAGACACAGCGAGAGAGGGAACATAGCAGGGGGAATGGGAGAGGGAGAAGCAGGGAGCCTGATGCGGGGCTCCAATCCCAGGACCCTGAGACCACGACCCAAGCCAAAGGCAGATGCTTAACGAGCCAGCCAGGCACCCCTAATTTTATTTTATTTTTATCTGATCAATTGGTTTTCAGCGAAAGTGCCAACACAAATCCATGGGGAAAACAAAGTTTGAAAAAAACGGTGCTAGAACTACTGGCAATCTAAATCGAAGGGAAAAAAAAAAAAAAAAAAGAACAGCAACCGTTCCCTCACAAAACCCACAAAAATAATTTGAGATTGACCAAAGAAACAAATATAAAACTATAAAACTCAAGAAGAAAACAAAAACAAAAATCTTTGGGGTAGACAAAGTTTTTTGCTTTGTTTTGTTTTGTTTTTAGGCAAGAATCCTACCCATCCTACATATCACCATGTAAAAACCATGTTCAAAAATCTTCAAAGCAGGGGCACCTGAGTGGCTCAGTCGGTTAAGTGCCCAACTCTTGTCTTCAGGTCAGGTCATGATCTCAGGGTTAGGAGACCAAGCCCCACATCTGGCTCTGTGCGGAGCAGAGAGTCTGCTTGAGATTCTCCCCCTCTCCCTCTGCCCCTCCCCCCCTCTCTCTCTCTCTCTCTCTCTCTCTCTCGTTCATGTGCTCTAAAATAAATAAATATTTTTTAAAAATCCTCAAAGCAGCTCTATTCACAGAAACCAAAATCTGGGGGGGGGACCCAAAGGTCAGATGAATGGGTCAATAAAATTAGTATGTCAATAATATAGTAGAAAAATACTCAGCAATCCAAAGGAACAAACCACTGGAACTATATGATGAACCTCACAACCATTATGGTGAGTAAGGGTAGACACAAAGAGTACATAATGTAGGATTCTACTTGAAATTCTAAAAAGAAAAGCAAACTATAGTTGACCCTTGAGCAAAGCAGAGGTTGAAGCACTAAACCCCAATGCAGTCAAGAATCTGCATAGTAACTTTTGACTCCTCCAAAATGTGACACTAATATAGCCTACTTTGACTAGAAGCCTTGTCAATAACATAAATGGTCAATAATCACAAATTTTGTGATATATGCATTATATACCATATTTTTAACAATAAAACTAGAGAAAAGAAAATCTTTAAAAAATCTTAAGGAAAAGAAAATAAATTTACAGTACTGCATGTATTTATTGATACCATTAGTTTACATCATTGTTTTACAAGATGAATCATCAGTCAGGACCTACATCAATATTGTCCTAAATAATACAAAACACAATAAACGTTATATGCTATTACTAACATCAGACATCAAAAATGAAAAATGTGAAAAAGAAATCTGTATTTACTTACAGATATAACAATTCACACACTGATAATGAAGGAGCAATATGACTGCTTTACAACAGCCTAGTGTAACTGATAGCTGCTTCACAATGGACTAGCATATACACTAATGAATGAATCGTTATACAATTTTTCTGTCATACAGTATTACAGTCATATTCATTAATACAACACTGCAAATACATTTTTTCTAAAAACCACTTACCTGTGATGATAGGCTGATAAAGTTTCTCCAATTATGAGAGAAGCATACTGTACAGTAATGTAATTCTTTGAAAGCAAAGTTATAAAACAGTAAGAAAACTTAACACATTATTAATTTTATATTAAATATCACTCACCTTATGCCTACATAAGGATAGGCTATCCACTTCCATATAAGTCTTGTACATGATTTTCTACACGATGAACACTTAAGCAATGATGATGAGGATGATGACAGAAAACGTCTCAGACAGTTCTTGCCATACAGTTATTAGATTCTCACACGAAGACACACACACACAACAGATAAGTTTATTAACTGTACGGCATGATGATTATTTACTATTCATTAAATGGAAGTGGATCATCATAAATGTCTTCATTCTTGTTTTCACTCTTCACACTGAGTAGGCAGAGGAAGAGGAAGAAGAGGAGGGGTTGGTTTTGGTGTCTCAGGGATAGCAGAAGAGGTGAAGGTGAAAAGAGAGGCAGGAGAGGCAAGCCAACTTGGTGTACTTTACAGAAATACACTGTCATTTCTGTCTGACATTTTTGCTTTTTCATCTTTTTAAAAATGTTTCTAATGCAGTACCAGTCCTTCTTCTACCATTTGCTTTCGTTTCAGCGCCCATGTCCTATGAGAAGTCAAAAGCAGTCTTGAATAATTAGAATCCTACCAGACTGTCTAATGTCAACTGTTTTCTGGCACTGCTTCATCCACATTTTCTTCTTCACTGTCTGGTTCAGATGTGTTTATCCTTATCAAGTCATCTTCTGTTAATTCCTTCTGTGTGGCATCTATTAGCTCTTGAATTTCTCCAAGATCCGTATCTTAAAACCCTTCACACCCCCACCTTTTTTTTGCCATGTCCACAATCTCTTTCAGGATTTCCTTGACTGGCTCTGTTGTAAATTCTGTGAAGTCATACACAACTTCTAGACATATTTTTCCTCCTGCAGGAATTTACTGTTTGGGGCTTGATGGTTTTCATGGCTTGTTCTATAAACAATGATGGCAGCCTCAATGATGTAATCCTTCCAGACTTTCATAATGATCTATTAGGGTCTCTTTGAAAATCCTTACTAGACAGTACCATGTGTGATGAGCCTTAAAGGTCCTTAAGACCTCCTGATCTAGAGGCTAAATTAGAGATGTTGTGCGTTAGGGTCATGTAGACCACTTTGATGCCTTTGGTGTTGAACTCATCAGATTCTGAGTGCCCAGGGACATTGTCTAAGATCAAAAGAACTTTAAAAGGCAGTGCCTTACTGTCAAGGTACTTCCTGATGTAAGAAAGAAAGAAAGCACTGATGGAACCAATCCCAAAAAAGGATTCTCATTGTCCAGGCCTTTTTGCTGTACAACCAAATGTCTGGCTGGGGTGACTGCTTGCTCAGACGGTAGAACATGAGACTCTTGATCTCAGGGTTGAGTTCAAGCCCCACCTTGGATGTAGAGATTTAAAAAGTCGGGCAGCTGGTGTTTATCTTTTCCCTTCAAGGTTTGGAGATTAACAGCTTTATAAATAAGGACAGTCCTGGTCATAAACCCAATTGCACTTGCACAAAACAGTACAGTTAGCCAATCCCTTCTTGTAGCTTACTTTTTGTCTGCATTAAGAAAAACCTGTTCAGGGGGCGCCTGGGTGGCTCAGTGGGTTAAGCCTTTGCCTTCGGCTCAGGTTGTGGTCTCAGGGTCCTGGGATCAAGCCCCACATCGGACTCTCTGCTCAGCGGGAAGCCTGCTTCTCCCTCTCTCTTTGCCTGCCTCTCTACTTGTGATCTCCTATCAAATAAATAAATAAAATCTTTAAAAAAAAAACTGTTCAGGCAAATATCCTTCCTTTCTTCTCAGTGATTTTCTTAATGGTATTTGGGAACTCATCTGCTGCCTCTTGGTCAGCAGAAGCTGCTTCTCCTCTTCTCTTGACATTTTAAAAATCAAACCTTTTTCTAAAATTATCAAACCATCCTTTGTGGGCACTAAATTCTCCAGCTTTAGAACCCTTCACCTTCCTTTTGCTTTAAGTTGTCCTAAATGACTTCCCCTTTCCTCAAATCATATTGGAGTCTATAGGTATGCCTTTCTTAGAGCAGTCAGACACCCACATAAAAGCTGCATTTTCAATACGAGATAAAAAGGTATTTCAAAAAGTCTAAGGTTTTGACACCTCTGGCATAACTGCAGCAACAGCTTCACGAATTTCCTTCTCTTTTCCTATATGGTCCTTACACTGGATTCATTTATCTTGAACTGGTGGGCAACTGTAGCTGCAGACCTCAATCTACGGTACTTATCAAACAACTCAAGTTTTTTCTTGTAAGGTCATCCCTTCTCTCTGCTTCTTGGGAGTACTTTCAGCATCACTAGTGGCACTTCAAATGGGTCCCACAGTGTTTTTTAAGGTTTACAGTATTGCACTAAACGTGATGAGAAATACGCAACAACTGCCAAGATCACTTTTTACTGTGATATGCAATTTACTGCAGAGACAAACTGCTCAGAGATGATTTGCATCACACGATGTTTTAAGCAGACTCATATACCTGAGCTCACCAAAACAGCAACATAAGATAGCTATAAAATTATTACAGTAGTAGAGTATATACTATAGTTAATTTTATACAATTATGATTTAATACTGCATCTTTGTTTACATTTTTTACAGTGAATGATGCAATGTATGTTAACTGTCTATACACACTTTAATAAATTTTAACTTTTTAATAATAGATCTGTGAATATTTTATGGTAGAAAGTAACGAGCTACATATATTTTATGTGTTTATGAAACACTTAATTTTTTTATTTTTTCAGTATTTCTAAGCTACACGGTTTGTCTGCAAGTTTTTAAACTGCCACAAATCTCAAAAAAATTTTCCAATATATTTATTGAAAGAGATCCACATAAATGGACACAAACAATTCAAGTACATGTTGTTCAAGGGTCAACTGTACTCGACAGTAAAAGATAGCAGATGAGCCATGCCCTAAGGTCAGGAGAGAAGTAGAGACAGTCTTTTGGAAGTGATAGAGATGTTCTATGTCTTGACTGTAATGGTGGTTTCAAGAGTGTGTGTATCTGTCAAAACCCACCAAACTGTACAGTTTAAGAGAGTGAAATTTACTGTACATAAATTATACTTTCATAAAGCTGTCAAAAAAATAGTGCTGTAAATAACTGAAATGGACCTACACATGCAACTAAGAAGCACTGTTAAATCAAAAAACAGCAAGGTGCAGAAGGTAAAAGAAATAATATTTTAGAAAAAGAGGGAAATTCATAGAAACATATGCTTGCTTATGCACACAACAAGTATGGAAAGATACATAATAAATATAATAGTGAAGATTTCTGGGAAAAAGAATTACAAAACCAGTGTCAGCAGTGTGAAAAGCTTACTTTTCACTATACACCCACTCAAATGTTTTATTATGTAGACATATAACCTAATCAAAATTAAAATATATTTCTCTGAAAATATAAAGTTATATTTGGCAGACTAATTCATCTTGGAAGGCACCAAATTATAAAAGTATGTCACTTACCTTACTAAGCCAGAAATCACATATCACTGTTTCTTTAAGTTGACTGATGATGTTTCCAAATGAGTGATGCTTCTAACAGCTTCCTATGTTTGGGAATTAATCTTTAAAAAAAAAAAAAAATTCCTATAACTAAGTAAAACAATCTATTAAAAAACACATAAGAATATAAAAGTACTACTGTCTATTAACTCATACATTAAACTTAAGACTAAGCTAGACTAAGTAAACAACTGTCTAATAACAATATAAAGCATCACATATTTTTATACCACGTAATAGATTAGGTTTTTCTTCATATATAATCACCACTTCCAAACCTCCACTCCATGGAAGGAGCGTATTTTCCTTTCCAACCAGTGCTGAGGTTGGCCACATGCCTTCCTTTGGCCTCATGGTGGGCAGAGTATACTTCCCTGCCCCCAAAACCTTAGCCATCTAAATTGCTTTGGCCAATGGTATATTAGCAGAAATGTTGCAGAGGTTTGACATGTCTTTGTGCAGCTGTGCACCCTCCTGTACCTCTGCCATTACCATGAGAAAAGCTTCACCAATAGATAAAGTCCTAGAACCCAGAATAAACAAAGAGTAGAACTGAGCCAAACCCCAAATGAGGAGCCAAGCCCAACCCACAGTGAGAAATAAAGCCCACCCACACCCACAGCTGCCCAGCCAAGCCAAACCCAAGTCACCTAACCCACAACTGCTCAGCAGATGTGTGATCAATAATTAACTGCTGTTTTAAGCCACTGAGTTCTAGGGCAGTTTCTTATACAGTAATAACTAATACATATTTGCAATTAATTTTTATTTTCTAAGAAACTCTAAACTTACCAAAGATTAAGCCCCAAAATATAACAAAAAAGCTCATTTATATTCCTTTATTACTTTAGCACTAAGAATTATAATTTAAAAATGATGACTATTCTTCTTTTACATCTATTCCTCCCAATTTCTAAATATTTTAAAACATTTGGCAGTGGGGACCTACCTTATAGAAGAGAAACTGATACAGAACTCTATAGTACCTGTCAATCACCTGTTCAGGTGTGCCAAGGACCACTTCAATTCTAGTTTGCCCTCATGTTAAACCATCACTAATCTAGCATTACATGACTTAATAATTCCCCTTTCTTCACAACCCTTAAATAAAATCATGCAAATAAGAACTGAAATGCACCCTCTCATCTGTCAGCAAATCAACGAGGCCCCTCCTACAACCCAGAGCTAGATTAATATAATCTTAATGAAAAAAGGGGCGCCTGGGTGGCTCAGTGGGTTAAGGCCTCTGCCTTCGGCTCAGGTCATGATCCCAGGGTCTTGGGATCGAGCCCCACATCGGGCTCTCTGCTCAGCGGGGAGCCTGCTTCCTCCTCTCTCTGCCTACCTATGATCTCTCTCTCTGTCCAAAAAAAAAAAAAAAAACCCACAGTGATTAAGCTTTACATAAAATGACCACTTTAGAAAACTTAAAATAATGTATTTTACTACAAAAAGAACTTCTAAAACATGTTAGAAAATATCGAGAATTTAACAATAATCCAATTTCCGACAGTGCTTTATAATAAAAAGTATTCAAATTTTAATCATCAAAATATTTGATTAAGACAATTTTAAACTTTATTTATTTGACAGAGAGAGCACAAGGGGGGTTGTGTGGGGAGAGGTAGAAGGAGAGGGAGAAGTGGACTCTCTGCTCAGCATCCTTGATCCCAGGACCCTGAGATCATGGCCTAAGTCAAAGGCAGATGCTTAACTGACTGAGCCATCCAGGTACCCCATGATTATTAAAAAAAAAAAAAAAATTTAACTAGAAAGGAAAAAAAATATTTGGATTGTACATCAGCCAATATATTTTAATATTAAAGTCATTTTTTAAAAAAAACACTTCATCATTTGGGGCACCTGGGTGGCTCAGTCAGTTGAGGGTCCAACTCTTGATTTCAGTGCAGGTCATGATCTCAGGGTTGCAGGATCAAACCCCAAGTTGGACTCCAATTCAGCAGGAAAGTCTGTTTGAGTTTCTTGCTCCCTCTCCTTCTGCCCCTAGCCCCTCTGAAATAAATTTTTAAAATATCAAAAAAATTGTATAATTGAGATATAATTCCTTACCACAAAATTAACCTCTTTATAGTACAACTTAGTGAGTTTTAGTATATTCAGAGTTATGCAACAAACAACTGCCAGTATCTAATTCCAGAACATTTTCATGACCTCAAAAAAATCCCCCCAAAACAAAAAATCATGCTCACTAAAGTCATTCCCTATCCCCCTCTCCCTCCAGCCCCTGGCAACTACAAATCTACTTTCTGTTTCTATGGATTTGACTATTGTAGATGTTGCATATAAATGGAATCACAATATATGGCCTCTTGTGATTGGCTTCTTTCATTTAACGTTTTCAAGTTCATATAACATAGCAAGTATCAGTAATGCCCTGTGATTTTTATGGCTGAATACTATTCCACTGTACAAACATGCCACATTTGTTTAACTATTCATCAGTTCCTGGATATTTGACAGACGGTTTCTACCTTGTGGCTATCACAAATAATGCTATGAACAACCCAACTGAGTTTTGTGTGAACACAGGTTTCCAATCTCTTGGTTATATACAAAGAAGTATGACTGCTGAACCATATGGTATTTAACTTCAGAGGGACAATTTTCCAAACAAGCTGTATCATTTTACATTTCCACCAGCCATGTATGAGAGTTCCAATTTCTCTATATCCTTGTCAGCATTTTTTACTATCTTTCTAAACTTTAGTCATCCTTTTGGATATAAAGTGGTATCTCACTGTACTTCTGATTTGTATTTTCCTAATGACTAATTAGGTGAGCAACTTCATGAGTTTATTAGCCATTTGTATTTCTTCTCTGCAGAAATATATATTCATATTCTTTCCTTTTTTAAATTGGGACATTTTTCTTTTTATTATTGAGTTGTAACAGTTCTTTATCTGGATATTAGATTCTCAGCAGATGCACTGCTTACAGATATTTTCTCTAATTCTGTTACCTGTCACTTTATTTTCTTGATAGAGCCCTTTATTTTCTTGATAGAGCACAAGTCTTTTTTTTTTTTTTAAGATTTATTTATTTATTTATTTGACAGGCAGAGATCACAAGTAGGCAGAGAGGCAGGCAGAGAGAGAGAGAGAGAGAGAGAGAGGAGGAGGAAGCAGGCTCCCCACTGAACAAAGAGCCCGATGTGGGGCTTGATCCCAGGACCCTGGGATCATGACCCGAGCTGAAGACAGAGGCTTTAACCCACTGAGCCACCCAGGCGCCCCACAAGTCTTTAATTGTAATTCAAACCATGGGGATTTACATCTGTAAATTTGCAAATGTTTTCTTCTATTCTATAGGTTACCTTCCCATTTTGTGATGGTTTCCTTTGCTATGCTATACTATTTTAGTAGGATGCAGTCCACGTGTTCATTTTTGCTTTTGTTGCTTTTGCTTTTCTTTTTTAAGATTTGAGAGAGCAAGCACACCCACAAGTAAGAAATGGGGCAAAGGGAGAGAGCATCCCGAGCAGACTCCATGCCCAGCATGGAGCCCAACACGGGGTTTGATTTCACGACCCCAAGACCCAAGCTGAAACTAGGAGTCAGACACTTAACTGACTGCACCACCCAAGCACCCTGTTGCTTTTGCTCTTATTGTATATTCACAATTCCATCACCAAGACCTATATCAAGGAGCTTATTCCCTATGTTTTCTTCTAGGAGTTTTATGGTCTCAAGTCTTATATTCAAGTCTTTTATCCATTTTGAGTTAATTTTTTGTATAATTTAAGACAGTGGCACAGTTTCATTCTTTTGTATGTAGCTGTCCAGTTTTCCCATCAACATTTATTGGAGACTGTCATATCCCCATCATATACTCTTGGCTCCCTTCGTTGTTAAGTTCTGAAATAAGGAACTGTGACTCTATCAATTTTGTGATTCTTTTTCTTTTTTTTTTTTTTAAGATTTTTTTATTTATTTGACAGAGATCACAAGTAGACAGAGAGGCAGGCAGAGAGAGAGGAGGAAGCAGGCTCCCCACCGAGCAGAGAGCCTACACGGGGCTCGATCCCAGGACCCTGGGATCACGACATGAGTGAAGGCAGAGGCTTTAATCCACTGAGCCACCCAGGCGCCCGCCATTCTTTTTCAAGATTAATTTGACTATATATTAATTTCAGGATCAGCATACGAACTGCAAAAAAGTCAGCTAGGATTTTAATAGGGATTGCACTGAATCTATAGATGAATTTTAGGAATACTGCCATCTTCAAAGTAAGTCTTCCAATTCTTGAACATAGATAGCTTTTCATTTATATAAGTCATCTTTAATTTTTTTAAATGATGTTTTAGAACTTCCAGCATACAAGGCTTGCACTTCATTTGTTAAGTTTGTCCCTAAATACTTTATTCTTTTTGATTCTATTATAAAAGGAACTGATTTCTTAATATACTTTTTAGATGGTTCTTCACTAGTATACAGAAACACAACTAATTTTTGTACATTGATCTTGTATCATATAACCTTAAATTCACTTATTAGCACTAATAGGCCTTGGGGACATTTTTGTGGATTTCTTAGAATTTTCTACATACAAGATCATGTCATCTGCAAAATCGTTTTATCTATTCCTTTCCAATCTGGATACCTTTATTTCTTTTTCTTACCTAATTGCCCTGGCTAGAACCTCCAGTACAATGTTGAATAAAAGTGTTAAGAGCAGGGACACCTGAGTGGCTCAGTTGGTTAAGCGTCTGCCTTCGGCTTGGGTTCTGGGATAGAGTCTGACATCAGGCTCCCCTGTTTCTTCCTCTCTTCTGCCTGCCGCTCCCCCTGCTCATGCTCTGATAAATAAAATCTTAAAAAAAAAAAAAAAAGTGGTAAGAGCAAACATCCTTGTCTTATTACTGATCTTAGGAGTTAAACCTTCAGTCTTTCACCATTAAGTATGATGTTAGAAATAGGCTTTTCATAGATGCCCTTCTATTCCTTGTTTCTTGAGTGTTTCTGTCATGAAATGGTGTTGGATTTTGTCAAATGCTTTCTCTACATCTGCTGAGGTGATCAAGTGTTTCTCCTCTCTATTCCA